GCAATTTAGCTATAGCCATGAAGGTTGGGGTTCAATCCTCACTGATCTATACTCTTGCAAGGTACTCTATTTATCTCTTATTCTATCTTTAATTTGTAGTTTTATTTTTATATGTTTTTTTTTGGTCTCTTGGTGTTTTAATGAGCAAGGATGATTTTTGAGGGATACAAATTCGAACTAGGGATTTTTGACTTGCTAAGATTTTGACCTGTTTGTTCAGTTCACTTTGTCTCTTTAAGCATTCCTTCGCCTTGTCATGTCCTGTCTCACTCATCAGCTTGTGTCCTGCCCTATTGTCATCCCTAATCCCAAGTTTTGTTTTTTAGTATCCAATTGAGAGGAGAGTGAGGGTTAATACTACTTACTTAGCTTCTTCCTATGTTTATATCAAAGGAATGAATGCAAGATTGTGTTTTTCATCATTTAATTATAATTAAATGATATATATTTCTACTCTAATTTATAATTATAAAGATTAAATTATTTAATTTGATGTAAATACTCAAAAAGTAACCCCAAATTGAATGTCCTATGTGCATATTAGTTGAACGAAGCTTGGAGAACAAATTAAGGAATCAAAACTATATAACAAAAATATTATATATTCGTAAATGGTAGTATATTTGAAAGTAGAACTCAATTAGAAGGATATTGAAGCTAATCTCAATCCACAATATTTTTTTTCCAAAAAAGAATTTTCGTGTACTAATTCTACTATAACCAAACTATATGCTCTGATGGCGGTTCAATTGGATCCTAAATAGTAAAATCCATAAAAATAAATATAAATAAATATAAAAGTGAATAAATATACTTTTTTTAATTATCTTAAATCAAGTTGATTATGTTTTTTATAGGCAGATATAGTGCTTCGTGGATATGGTGGTTGGAACACTAGGCTGGCTCTACAGGTTTTGGACCAAATATTTCCAAAGGTACTTCCTATATCTGTCGTTCAGTGTATAAAATTAAACTCTTATTTTATTCTAATAGTTACAGAGGATTAATATATATATGCTTATTCATATTTATTTGTTTATATATAATTAAGGATGCAGCAGTACAACCATCACTTGTTATTGTATACTTTGGTGGAAATGACTCAATGAAACCTGATCCAAATGGTCAAAATGCTCATGTTCCTCTTCTTGAATATATACAAAACATGAAGAACATTGTACTTCATCTCAAGGTATCCATTTTGAAACTACTCAACGAACATGATAATTTTATAGTTAAACAGCAAAATTAATCGCTAATGAATTATCAAAATTGCTTGCAGAGCCTATCGGAAAAGACTCGAATACTAGTTCTTAGTACTCCACCAGTGAATGAGGAACAAATCATCAAATTGTTCGGGTAATACATACTGAAATTTAACAAAATCAAGGTTTTATATACTACATATTATTGACTTATAGTAGGGAAATGTTTCTGACAAACTTTACATAAAAAATCTCATAATTTTAGGACAACTTACATAGATTCCACTAGTTTAGGAATTAATTACTTAGATACACTCTAGTTTGCAATATTATGTATCTTACCAGATTTTGGTGGCTCCAGATACGTCCAGATACATATATCTCGGATACATGATGTCAAATTTAGGTGTAATTTGTTCTAGATATATTGTATCCAAGTGGATTCACATGTATCTGTGTGATACATAGCAAATATCGCTCACCTCCCTCGCCTCTCTCCCATCTCGCTCGTCATTCTTCTAGATACATGCAATCACTCCAGATATATATAGATACATGTATCTAGTGTGATTCTACATGAAATACATATGAATCTCGTTCGCCTCTCTCCCTATTTTTATGCATCTGATAGCAAAAATGCATGTATCTAAGTGTAAGATACGTAAGAAACTCTTAATTAGTGGTAAAATATGTAATATTTTGAAAGTACAGGTAATAATAGTATATATGGTAGTGAAGTATGTCTAATTATATAGTTATTCCTATTCTTAACGACGTTGTTCGTCGAAAATTCCTATATTTTGTAAGTGATGACTTGCTATTGTTGTTTGTTTTTGGAAAACAGAAGTTCTCAACGTTCAAATGAGAGCTCACATATATATTCAGAAGCTTGTATAAAAATGTGCCAAGAGTTGGGGATCAAGGTGATTGATCTTTGGACTGCACTTCAAAATCGAGATGATTGGTTGACTGCTCATTTCACGTACGTTTTTCTATCTTAATTTAAAACTTCAAGTATTAATTAGTGGTAAATAATTGATTGAAAAAACTAAATTCATGCAGATAACTTTATCAATTACGTTTAAGACTTCTCATCTACTTTCTAATTAAATTATTTTTACGGAGTGTACGTGAGAAAAATTAGATCCTAACTCATGTGCAACATTTCCTTACCGAGAATCACTTAATTTGACACCCTTACATATGTAACCCCTTTTTAAGTGATTTCTTCGAAATATATTCTATTTCAAGATTTGAAAATATTTTTGGTTTTTTAAAAATGGTTTATGTATAAGATCTATTTATCTAAAAGGGTAGGCCACCACTCGAACTCGAACCAAGATGTATTAGCGGTACTTTTTAAGAGCAGTATGTCTATCAATTTTATCATAGCACCTTGTCTTGAACTCATAATAGCCCATGAATAAGCAGTCGTTGAGATTGAATAAGCTATTTTAGTTTAATTTAGTAATAATTCAAATGGATCAACAACAATAAAAAGTTGTTCAAATAGGAATTTGAGGTTGAGGGTTCTAATTTTTAACTTGGGGCCATAACAAATAATAAAAGATAATATTGCATTCATAAACTAATAAAATTCCAGTGTTATGTACAATTTCCATTACTCGTCTACCGTTGAAAATAACTAGCAAGACTTGTATTTATAGTACTACAAAATCTACTTTAACTCAAAATATGAAAACTTATACCTATATGAATTTAACTACAAATCTTAACTAGAGTCTAGACACGATTTCTTACAACTTTGAGTTATTTTTCCTAACTGATAACTTACCATATATATATATATATACTTGAGGTTCAAATTCACTATGATATTTTGTTATATTTGGGTGTAAGGGATGGAGTTCATTTAACAGCAGAAGCAAGCAAAGTTGTGGTTAAGGAAATCTTAAAGGTTGTGAAAGAAGCAGATTGGGAGCCAAATCTACATTGGAAATCATTGCCAAATGAATTTGCACAATATTCACCTACTATCTTTGTTGGGCCTAATGGCAACACTCCTGTTAATGTTGCTGATTTGGACTGGCAAGCCCAATGGATCTGACAATATGAATGTTCGTCTACAGTCAAGATAGGGAATTGCTTCTGCAGAAAGGCAAGAAAATGCGCTCGAGCAGCTTAGCTTCTTACTATCACTTTTGGAAAACCTACTTTGAACTTCTCTTCAACTCAATGTTCATCATATCAATTACCATCTTCAATTCATATTTTTTGTAAAACTCTTATTAACTTCTTTACGAAGGATATTTAGTAATTTTAATTTAATCTAAGTTATCATTTTCATTTGAATATACTTAAAGCTGAGTCATATATATCTTATTTTATCGCATCTCTCCTCCTTGTATCCTGTATAATCAACCTCTCGCATTTTCTCTTTACATGTCCAATCCATATTAATCTCGTTTCCTTCATTTTGTCCACCATGCATCATGCATGGGGACACTCCCACCTTAGTTGGGTGAATTGAAATAAATTAATAAATATTTCTTGCTTTTTTTATATGTTATATATCTTAAAGCAAATTTAATTTGTCAAACTGACTAGTATTTGAGATCGAAAAAAAATTAAAAACACTTCAAGTATATGGACTCAAACATAATACTCTTGTTAAGTCTTGTTAGGTTTTAAATGTAATTTGCATGTGATAATGTAACCACTCGAAAATTCAAATGACATGAGCTGGTCTACAATCTGGAAATTAAATTTCATATATATGAGAAGATCAAATATTTTATATGACTTGCAAGACATAATATATTTATGTCTAACGAATCTAATAATTGAGTCACCATAATAAATTTATGTCTAATAATTATGTCTAAAGTACTGATATGGAATAGCTTTATCTTACAAAAACAATTTCCTGATCGTTTCAATTTATTTGTCCTATTTTGACCTAATACAGAGTTTGAGAAAATAAAAAAGATTTTTAAATTTTATGATTTTAAATTAAGGATATGTCAAATGTATCAAAATGTCTTTTAATTTTGTGGTCTTAAATGTGTAGTTGAAATTAGAGAGTTGCTAAAAAGGGGGAAAATCATTCTTTCTAAAAGATTTTTTTCTTCAAAAAATTAGGACAAACAAATCGAAACGAAGAAAGAGTAAAGGTAGAATGGATTGGAGAAAAGCTGTAGTGAGCCCCATATTGAATTTAAGGCAATTGCAAAGTGCAAGTTGTCAAGTCTAATTGCAAATGGCAAGCTGCTTTAATGATAATTCATACAGAGATTAGAGATAAATAGTTAAGTATTACTTTAGATCTTTAAGAGAAATTAGCTAGGACGTTGTTTCTTATTGAACAAAAAAAATAATTAGAATCACACAATTTCTTTTTGTCCAATTTTAGTTATATTAATATTTAAGTCCTAAATATTATAAAAAGTAGTTAAGTGACAATTATGATTAGTTAGTAATTTAGTATATACTTCCGTTTCAATTTGTTTGTCTTATTTTTCTTTTTGATTAATCTATTTTTTAGAAGAAAAAAATATCTCTTTCCTTTTTGGTCTAACTCGTTAACTTCAATTTTTCAACGGACAATTTTAATACCACAAGATCAAAGAACATTTTGATACATTCTACATAATTTAAATTTAAAATCACACTATTCAAAAAGTTAACAAAAAAGTGGCTACTTACTCCTATATATACCTTTGGAGTTTGACCACGCCCAAAGGCAGAGTCCTCAACAAAGAACCTATTCCTATCAAGATATATCAATACAATTAATTACTTTGTTAAACTTCGTATCAAATAAAAATCAGACGGTCAAATTAAAATGGATATGAATAAATATAGATATATGATGGATGCATCCTATAGACTTGTCAACAACTAATTAACATGGTCAGTAAAGAGTCTTATCAAACTCATCAAACATTCATATCTTATTGGCAAAACTATTTATAAAAGCCAAAGCATTACTAGTAACCTCCTTGACCTTCCCTGCACGATTACAAACGTCCAATTTCAATGGTTCATCATCACTCACATCTTCAAATCCATCAGTACAAGTATCCTCATTGCTCAACGCCGCACTCATCCATGTTTGAACATTACTCATTTGAAACCTCAACGACTCACTAGAGCCCCCGAGCGTACGCATTTGACTCAACGAATCGCGTATCTGATCGACTGCATCTCCGAATACGGAGAAGCAGTCGTGGAGCGCAGCCAATGCACGTGGCTGCGCTCCATAGTCAGCTTCGCGAGATAAGTTGGAAACAAAAGCTGACATTCGCTTAGCTTTTGCTAGGCTTACTCCAATAGCGACACGTGCTAGGCGACCGGGGTCTTGTTGTACCGCGGTCGCGTAGTGGTTTAGTGAGTGGTAGCAGGTATCCGGATACAAAGTGGTTTTACAACTCGAACGGATGTAGTCCGAGTCATCGAGGATGATGTCAACGGATGACACCGTGGTGGGGTCGAGGAGGGCGGCGGAGGGGGCGGGGATAAGGGAGAGGTGGAGGAGCACGGTGGTGAAGAGGATGCAAAGAGTACATGAGGTTTTCATGGTTTATCTACTATAATTTGTTTTTTTAACAAAATGTAGCAATATATGTAGGCAATTGGTTAGGAGGTGAAATGACATTTTTGTCCTAATTAAGAACCATTTGTAATGTGGAGTCATGATTTTTGTTGTTGAAAATAATTATGCTCCTTTAATTCAGGTAGTACTATTGAACAATGCAAAAAAAGGTGAAAAGTAATTACTTCTTCAATCTATAAAGTGTTGATAGTTATCGTAATTTGTCTAACTTTTTTTTAGTCCGTTTGAAAAAATTAATTAATTTTTAGTAATTTCTTACTTACTCTTTTCACTTGATATGTTTTAAGATTACAAAAAATTAAAAGACTTTTGAATACATTTTACACTTGATCTTTAGCTTACGAGCAGAAGATTCAAAAGTCAAAATCTTATGAATTAATTATCAATGAGAAAGATTATGGGAGCCATGTTATAAGCTAGATACAAGTACACAATACCTGTTGTTTTGTTCAATAGTTTCACCATTATAAGAAAGTAAAAAATTAGCGACAGATAAATTTTCATAATTAAATTAAAAAAATATCATGCTGATTTTATTTAGCTATGGATTGCAAGTGCAATGGATTATATGAAAATTCAACTATTTTATTTTGTGAATAAAGATTGAAAAAAGAAGTTCAATAGTATAAATTGGTATTCTTAATGTATAGTTTACACATGACTCTTCTTTAATTTCTTCCCCATCTTTTGAATATTTTCACCTTTTTCAAACTCCAAAAATCCTATTTGGTTCCAATTCTTTATAAGTGGGGCAGCATACAAACTACTTTTGAACTTTCAAGTTTTTTTGCTGCCTAAATTAGCGCCACTTAATGGGATGGCCCTACAATAATTTTTTTGGACCAAACGACTTTTACTTTTTGTGACACCTAATTATATCATTAGTAATAACTACCAAACATTTGATTAATTTTGACCTTTTGATGACAAAAAAAAAAAAAAAAAAGTTGATGCATGTTCTGACCTGTAATAAGAGCTTTCAGCATTTCTGCGACAGGAATTTTAGAGTATGATTAATATGTCCTACTCCTACCTATACAAAGCTAAAATCAAATTTTATGACTTATCATTGATTCATCTTATTAGTATTATATTTTTGGTAGCTTGAGAGTAGGTAGTTTTTATCAATTTTCTGTTTTGCAAATTAGTTAATTATTGTACTTAATTCCAACTTATTATTAGAAGGGAAACTTATATAAATTTCACTAGTTTAGGAGCTAATTATTTAGATACATTTTAGTTGTAAATGGGGTCAAAATTAGTTGTAATTTGTTTTAGATACATTTTAGTTGTAAATGGGCGTCCTGATACATGTATCTCGGGATACATGGAGTCAAAATTAGGTGTAATTTGCTTTAGATACATAACAAATCTCGCTCGCCTCCCTCATATCTTGCTTGTCTCTCTCCTATGTATCTGGTTCCTAGATACATGCTAATCATACCATATACACACTAGATACATGTATCCAGTGTGATTCACATTTATTTTGAATATATAACAAATCTCACTCGCCTCCCTCCCTATTTTAGTGTATTTGGTAGAAAATACATGTATCTACATATATCTTCCTCAATCTATAATGGAAAATTCTAAATTAATGATAAAATACATAATATTTTAAAAGTATAAATAATAATAGTATATATGATCGTGAAATATGTCTAATTATGCAGTGTGTCCATATTAGTATAAGTATTAACTTATATAGATGTATTACTAATCCTTTTAAAGTATACTTTAGTATACATCATAATACAAGTAGTGCTAATGTTGGTGGCTCTCATTGGATTTGTAATGCTTTTATTTTGGTAATTAACTAACACGCGGAGAAAGTTATATTATCATTGTGTTTTTATTTTTTCTATTAAGTATATATACCATGCATTAGTAACCACAATTGAAATGATATATTACATAATAACAACAATAATTTCAGTGCGATTTCATAATTGAAATTAGAAAAAATTAAGATCGATAAATCCTTGATAATTCTTTTTTTTTTTAAAATCTGATAGTGAAAGCAAGCTCATATCGATGGAGTTGAATAGCACATGTCAAATAATTAACTTGCGAATTCTTTTATTTACTAAATATTAAATCATTTGAGCTATAATAAATCCAACTTCTTGGCATTAATTTAATCCAATAATTTAAGGACATGAATGGAATCTTAACAAATAAATATATACTATCATATTTTTGTCCTTTCGGTGGTTAGATGTCAGTTTAGTGGGGAAGAGTACGCATGCAATGAGTTTTCTTTTTTATATTTGGTCGAAATGCAATAATACTAAGTATAAAATATATAGGTCAAATAATAATAATAAAAATAAAATGAAACTACTATATAATTAATAGGAGTATGAAATAACTACATGACATTTGTTAGCCGGGAATGGGGTGACCCAATCCTACAGCCCCACATTATGATCTCAATATTATAATACATAAACGCACTTTTTAATTTGGTCTTATTTAATATTTATGTACTTTAATTTGGTTATGTATAAATGAACACTCAAATTTATATATAGTTAAACAAGTAGGCATACGCATTATACTTAACATCCTACGTGATAACTTGCATCGTACGCGACATCCTACATGGTGTACTACGTATATTATATCACGCAGGATGCATGTGTATACTTGTTTAACTTTATACAAAATTTAAGTGGTCATTTATGCACACATAAAGTTGAAGAGCATAGATGTCATTTGAGGTCAAGTTAAATGACATATTTATATAATATGCGCAATTAATTGAGGATATTTTGCAAATAGCCACTATAATAAACTTAATTAGGCCCCTTAGGTATAGTTTGCATATTTATGGATTGAAACTCTAGTTTAAACTGCTATGGGCGACTTCGTTTTTATAATTCGCGGGTATATTTGTATAATTCGTGGATACGTTTGTATAATTGAGCTATTTTCGTCCTTACTTGTATAAATTGATCAGTATCAATTGCTTTTTATTTATTTTTATATAAACTCAAAATAACGAATTTATACAAACACAAACATCTGAACTTTAAACAGTTATGCAAATTATATTATACAAATTACATCATACAAAAGTTCGTTCATGTTTGTATAAACTGGTTAGTATCAATTGATTTGTATTTATTTTTGTATAAACTTGAAATAACGAATTTTTATAAACACAAACATCTAAACTTTAAACAATTATACAAATTACATGATACAAAAGTTATACAAATTATATTATACAACTGTACACACTTATACAAACTAAAAAAAAGTGGCTAACATAATTATCACTGAATGTTGATGGCGAGTGGTAATTAACGAAAACTATAGCTATGATGACTAATTAACTAGTACTCAGTTCTATTTTATGTAACACTTTTCGAATTTTGAGATTCAAACAAATCTATCTTTGACCATAAGTTTTTCATAGATCCTTTAAACGTTTTGAATTATCAATTATTCTGACTTATATAATACTTTTTATATAAATATATAAATTTCATTTAAATTTTTTTGCAGATTCCGTGGCGCAAATTCCCGGTCAAACTTAAACTGCTTGACTCTCGAAAAATGAAAAGTGTCACATGAATTGAGACAGGCGAAATTATATATTTATATAACCGCATATTTTTTCCTAATTAATTTGTTGAAAAATAAATTAATAACCACCACAACATTTTAATATAAAATGATAGATCTTTCTTAAACATAAATTTATAAGTATGTTAGATCTTTCTAATCACAGGCGCTAACCTCACTACCACATGCCTAATCATGATTTCTAAAGTAAAGAGCTCCACATCAATTTTCTCAACTCGGACTTATTAGCATAAAGTCATATTACAAATAAAATATTCTCCATCAATTGCATATATTGAATATACAAATTTTATAAATTTTGTTCTTTTTTCTGTATTCACTCAAGCCTGTTCTTGATTTTAAAATTTTAAAAAAAAGTCATGTCTTTTATTATATTTTAAGAGTGGTGGAATAATCTGAGAGGTCTTTATATTGGACATCGTTTGTAAATTGAACCCTTGTATTTATTACTTTGTCAACTAAATCCTTAAATTCACCAAAATGTAATATTTTAAACCTCTCTAACCATTGACCGAGCTTACATAACATTAAAATGGCTGAGTTGGAAAAGTGCATGACTACATGCGTTTTGAAGCAAGTAAATACAATATTTTATTTTATTTTTAAAAACTCAAAATTATATATAAAAATAACAATAAATTTAAAATATTGAAAATCTCAAATTCGTCATCTTCTTTAACCCCAACCTCGCCCACCCCCACCCCCACCCTACCCCTTCTTCTTCTTCAGCCCTAGCCCTGCCCCCACTCCTACCCCTACCCTTCTCTTTTCTTCTTCTTCTTCTTTCTTCTTCAGCAATTGTCCTCGTTCATCACTCCCTCTTCTGTTTTATACCTCACTCTATGCTACTTTCTTCTTCCTTTTTTGACGGACACCCCATCGTCACCATCATAAAAAAAGAATTATTAACAAAGTTTTTGCTAGAAAATATACTCATTCGCCATTTTTATAATCTTAATTTTTCAAGATCTATTGCTTGAGTTTTCAACTTGAAGTTTTCTTGATATCTCTCTTTACCAAATCAAAATAAATAAAGCTCTCCTTTAAAGCATATCAATGATTAATTACAGTGAATGATAAATTTTTGTGACTGAAAAAGATTTTGGGTGCAAAGAAGTGAAAATAGTGGAAGCAAACACACGGTGATTTCTTCATTTTTTGGAGAGGGATGGGGGTGGGAAAGAAGATTGTGAAGTGGGGAATGAGAGACATGAGTACAGTGAGAGAGAGAAAATTGTATTTTTTAAAATATTATTTATTTTTAAATATTTGATTTCTGATGTGTCTTTGAATTTTTTTTAATAATTATGATGTGTTATTAAAAAATGACATGGAATTTCATGGGTAAATGAGTGTACTATATGCACACTCATCAGATAAGAAAGGAATTTAAAATATTATATTTCGATGAGTTTAATGGTTCAGTTGACAAAGTCATAAGTATAAGAGTCCAACTTACAAACGGAATCAAGTACAAGGGCCTTTCAGATCATTCCGCCTTCCGCCTTTAAGAATTGATGAAATATATAGCTAATTTAGACGCTCTAATTTGGCTACTACCTTCTACTATGTTCTTATATGCAAAAATATTTTCGTCCATCGGCTTTAGTAGCAAATTCTATTTGTCACCTAAAGAAAGGAGTCAGTCTAGCATGGACGATTTACTTGAACAATAGAGAGGATTTCAAAGGCTTTGCTATGAGTAAAAAATGGCCCTCAAGTGAAGAAGTAACAGAATGTTTCTGCCCAAGAGATTAACATGACAAAAGTTGTTAATGAGTAATGTGCACTATCTCAGCATATTATTAAATTAAAAATACGTAGAATATATCAAAAAAAATATACAAATCAGATAGAAATACACATTAATATTAATATGCAAAAGATAGAACAACTGCCACACACACAATAATGAAACCACAAAAATGAATCTGAAAAAAAACCCATCGCTTTCAGATCTCATTCTCCTCCTCCTCCTCCTCCGCCATCACCGCCGCCGCTGCCACCACCACCACCGTGAGAACTACCATCCGCACCACCATCCATGTCAGCTAGATGTGAGGTGGCTACGAACGCAACTGCCGCTGCTCCGGCGTCATTGCCGCCTGTATTGGAGGTGGCTCCACCGTGGCTACTACCATCGGCACGATTATCATCAGCATTGATATCTCTATTTTTTCGATTTGATTTTGAATTTGAAGATCCTTCTTCCTTAGTTTTGCTACTCTTACGATTTAGGAAGCAAAAGCAGAAGCTGGTTTTACTAACCATTGTAAAACTATGATAGAATCGGATCGAATCGAATCAAAAATAAATGAATGGTTAAGTAACATGTGTTTTGCATCGAAATAGGAACATTTTGCTTAATGATGAAGGGAAAACGACAACGATAATTTTCTCTATGGGGTCAACAGCTTTGGATTCTTTTTAATTATCTTCAATCTTCATATGACAGCTAATTTCTTTTAGCAATATAAAGAAAAAGGTGCATTCTTTAAAATTATTCCTTCCATGAGATAAGAGTGGAAATTGAAATAAGTCCTTACGATTCAATAAAGGGGGTATAATTATCGACTCCATTGTAAAAATTTAAAGGATTAGGTTTTTAATTTCATCATTTTTCTAACGGGAATATAATTCGAAATGAAAAATTTGAAGAAACATATTTTTTCCCTAGGAGATTCAGAATTAAGGCAAGAAATGAACAATATGAAAATAAGAACTTACATTCGTAAAATTTGTGATAAATGTCAACTAATTCGTAGGCGGGCGCTTTATAGTAATTTGTTCCAATTCGAGAGGTCGAAACATAAACAAAGACATGACTAATCAAACTTACTAGTAGAGTCGATGTACAAATAAATAATTTGTTTTGATGTGAAATTTATTGTTGGGTAACCAATGAAATATCTCATTTTATGTAACAATCTATTTGGTATGATCGCATCGTCACTTTTTTCTTTTCTCAATTTGTCTTTTACTTATTATTAATAATTTTATTTTATCCTTTACCAAAATGTAGTCTATATATCATATACTTACTTTTCTGGTAGGTTTATCCTTCAAGTTATTAATATCGAAAGAAGTTCTGATCACAGACAACTTCTAAAAGAAGAGAAAAGAGAAAAGGACCAAGGGCGCCAAGACCACAGAAGGAGCTAAGACCGCTTAGGCCTTTTACTATGACATTATATAAAGACAGAAAAGATAAAATACAATATATTTAAACGTTATATAATCAAAACAAATACAAAACTATACAAATATGATACATTATAAAATGAAATTTTAAAAAAATACATTATAAAATAATATGTAACAACCATCTAAACGGAGGATTAGTAATCATAAAATTTATGAACAAAGCTCTATCGAGAAGCTAAGAAAGTTAATGAATGAGAAGACAATGGGATATCTGAGATGAAAACTAAAGCATGTTGTAGTGGATACATAAATGATTTCAAGATAGATTTTAATATATATGCATATGGCGAACCTCAAACGAGTAGATACAGACATGATACGTAACATCTTACGTGGATATTTGAATTCTATATGGCTTCCTACATATATATTATGACACATAAGACATGTCAAGTATAAGTATTTCTCAGTTGGCCAAGTATTAGTAGTTGTAGCCATAGCGGCATAGTACATATTTGTAAGTACATATGCCTACAAATATTTCATATTGATATTATCAACCAATGGGCCTTTTTGGTTTCAACGTGGTGTTGCCAAATTCTATCTTCCACTTTATATCTCCATACGTAACTCTTCTCTCTAAATTCATTCTCTAATTTCAGATGTATTTTTACGTTATATTTTAGGTGTGTTTTTACCATTCTTTCTTAATTTTTCTATTTTACTGTGGGAAGTGAACTAAGACTTTCACCTAATTTATTTTCATTCGTCAAAATAAATATCATTTCAAAACATCAATTAAGACGACTTTGCCTCCTTCTAGTATATGCTAGATGAGATAGGCCCGTGCAACCACTGGTCCAATAATTTGTATTATAGCATATTCGTTTCGATAAATATGGTTATCACCATATAACATACCATATTCAATTGAAAAATGCATTGAAGTATATACAATTAATTATGTGTTTAGGTAACTATACAAAACATCATATATACATTGTAAGTTACTCTAATATAAATGCAATTCCTAATGATAAAGAAAGGATCAGAATATCTTTTAGGGTCTGAGACGACTTGGGCTAGAGCCCAATAATATAGACAAATTTGGGCCAATGTATTCTCTCTTTCAGATGGCCCATAATGTGTATTCGCATCGGCCCAAATCAAATTTTAGTTCCTATCTTCTTCTGTGAGGCAAGCTCAAGCTTTCATCATCGCCAACCGATATAATATTTATTATAGAATAATTATTTATTAAATTCAATAAAAAAAATTAATTAGGGGAGTTCACCAGAATTGGTTGATTGGGCCCATATAAGATAGAGTTTTACGTGTAAAGGCAGTAGGTCAATGTGTCTGCTTTTAACACTTCAAGTGCATTTACGTAAATTTACATGGCAGAGAAAAAAGTTGAAACAAAAGAATTCTCATAATCTTAGTGACGATGAAGGTTCAAAAGCTAGTGATTTGTATTTTAGCTAACAATAATAATTAAGAGAATTGTGGATTAGCATAAAAATATTTTAGCACAAAACAGAGAAAACGTACGGTAGTTTTTTCCCCCAATATAGTGTTGATAGTGATATATTTAAAATTACGTAAAAAATATTATAAAATAATAATAATTAATATATTTAAATTATTTTAAAAATATATAAAAAAATATGATTGACTCGTAAAATCTTATTTGGATCACGTAAATTGGGACACAAGGAAGTAAATGACAAAATAGATTATGACCATGTATTATTTTTTCAAAAGAATAGTATTCATTGACCTTTTTCTCTTATATATAATATAATATATAAGTATTATGTTAAGTGATATACCCTACTCATTATTATTCTCGAAAATATAATTAGATGAGAAATATATAACTCAAGAAGAATTTAAAAGAGAAAATGATCAAAATGGTCCTTAATGTATGGGCTTTGATTCCATTTCCTTTATATATCATAAATTGTGATCAATTTGGTCCTTAACCCTAAAATTAATATATTTCTTTTTTTTTGCCGTCAAAATACACGGAATATGTAAAAGATGCGCTCGTTCAAAACTTTCCTTCCCCTGTTTCAAAAAATTCCAAAAGGGCACATCAATTTTTTTAAACCAAAAGGGTAAAATCGCTCCTGACGGAGCGATTTTCTTTTGACAAAATTGACGCCGTTACTCCTTTAAAAAACGTAAAAATCGCTGCCGGTCCAATTTTTTTTCTTTTTCTTTAAAATCGTTGTTGTGATTTTTTTTTTTAACAACGCTGCCCCAGCAATTTTTAAAAAATAGAAATAGCTGCTATAGCAGCCATTTTCTTAAAAAGTTAAAAAATTTTATTAAAATTCTCGAGGTCGAGAACTGCTTAAAAAAATAATGGGAAATCGCTCCACGTGTAGCGATTTTAGTTAAAAAAAATTTAATGGCAACGATTATTTTAAAAAAAAATTAACTAAAATCGCTACACGTGGAGCGATTTCCCATTATTTTTTTAAGCGATCCTCGCCTCGGAAATTTTTAATTAAAAAAATTTAAACTTTTTTAAGAAAATGGCTGCTATAGCAGCTATTTCTATTTTTTAAACGCTGCTAAGGCAGCATTGTTAAAAAAAAAATTGGACCGGCAACGATTTTTATGTTTTTTAAAGGAGTAACGACGTCAATTTTGTCAAAAGAAAATCGCTCCGTCAGGAGCGATTTTGCCCTTTTGGTTAAAAAAAATTAGATGTGCCCTTTTGGAATTTTTGGAAACAGGGGAAGGGAAAGGTCTTGAACGAGTGCATCTTTACGTATTCCGTATATTTTGACGGCAAAAAAAAATGAAATATATTAATTTTAGGGTTAAGGACTAAATTGATCACAGTTTATGATACATAAAGGACCATTTCCATTAAGTCCATACATTAAGGACCAAATGGAATCAAAGCCATACATTAAGGACCATTTTGATCATTTTCTCGAATTTAAAAGGTACTACTTCCTTTGTTTGAATTGATGTAACATAGTTGGAATTTCATAATTTAAACTTTTAAACTTTGATCATGAATTCGAGCACAGAAACTTAAAGTTTTTTTTAATTAAAATCTATATAATTGGAAACAAAATAAAAATAATATTATAAATCACAATAATTAACAACTTAGAATATTCAAAAGGTAAACATAGAAGTTTCGATAAAAAAAACTTTCGACTCTCAAAATTATGTCACAAAAAACTGAGACGAAGGAATTATACGTAACTTGTATTACTATATTATATATTTTGATGTGATTGGTACTTACTACGTACTCATGTGTTACATTTTATTAATCTTCAAAATCTTGCTCGACCAAATGCATCATATTTCTATATAATATTAATATTAATTAATACATCAAGTTTTTAGTAGTCAATGAATATTAGGAGGAACTTTAATTGAGTTAGGTATACTTACTATTTCTCTTTAATTAGATTTGGGAGTATATATTAAAGAGTATTGAGTTCTTCCACATAGTACCATTTGGTCATGAAAACATAAATGCTAACACGTTTCATCCACATAACTCATTGTCGGTACGTTTATTATAATTATCAATCTGATTTATTTTGTATCCTCTTGGTTGAAAATATAAGGAGCCTAATCAAATTCAATCGAAAGAAAGACGCAACTCAACACAACATAAAATAATATGTCATGGTGAGAGAGCTCAACGCTATATAAATCTCCTATTAGCTCTCCATTAAATCAATATGGGACTCAAATCTTATACCTTACCGTAGATCCTAATAGTTTTGTTAAAATGAAGGCTATATGTATATAATTAGTTGGATTAGTTAGTTAGTTAGGTGAGTTTGTTAATATGCTAATTAGTGATAGTCGGTTAACAGACTGTATAAATAGGATCTCTTTGTTAATGAAAAGCTAAGTACGGTTAATTCCTTTTTTCTACTGTTCCTATTCAATCTCTTCTTCTCTCAAATGCTCTCTATCGATCTCACATGGCTAGGGGCTTAACTTTCAACATGGTATCAGAGTTTTTGGTTTCAATGGAGCCCTAGCTGATACATAGATTTCTTTCTGCACAAATCGAGAGTTGGAAGAACAGTCGAATACCGACAAATAATACATTCACTACAAAATCCCTAATTCAACCT